AAAAAAAAAAAAAAAGAAAAGAAAAAAAGCAAAGGTACATGGATTGCTGGTACAAATATCTATAAACCCTGCTCTTTACTTAAAAGGGAAATTTTCCCTGCATTGGTAAATATTGAGTGAGACAAATTAACCTCTCTGTACCTCAGCTGCTTCATCTGCAAAGGAGGACTTAAACCTTGCTTCATATGAAGGTTTTAAATCCTATAAATCAACACATGAGATAATATATGTATATATAAAACTTAGAACAGTACCTGGTGCATAGTAAGGGCTCAACAAATATTAGCTATAATTATTAAGGTGAATTGTTAATTCTGTGTTCTGTTCCTTCAGTTAAATTAGAATTACAGTTGACCCTTCTACAACATAGGTTTGAACAACACAGGTCCACTTATACATGGATTTTTTTCAATAAATATAGGGGGTCCATAAAGTTAAATTGCACATGAACTTTACGGATCCCCTGTATACTAGAAAAATATTTGGAGAGTCACAACAATTTGACAAAACTCACAAATGAACCACATAGCCCAGAAATGCTGAAGAAAAATCTATGTTATAAATGCATAAAATATATGTAGATACTAGTATATTTTATCTTTTGCTACTACAAAATATACACTAACATTATAACAAGTTAAAATTTATCAAAACTTATGCACACACTTACAGGCTACACATGGCGCCATTCATAGTGGAGAGTCATGTAAGCATCAAATGTAAATGGTAAACCCTAAGTGCTAAAATTAACTGTAATTCAAACTCTATTCCTGTAAAATTTCATAGCCACCTTCTGTTGCTGTTTCTCTGAACTCATGTGTTGCAAGTATCCACTTAAAATGTAATGCTAATTATCTCTGTGTGAGCAATTCATTCTCTCCAGTAAATTACATCATTTCTCTAAAAGTGATTTCTCATTGTACTCGCCTGTATTTCATCATGATTAGTGCGACACCATAAACCTTGGTTAACACCCTGGGTCCTCTACAAAGTACCAAAAGCGATGCCAGAAGTTTTCCCATGAAGCAGAGAAAAGTCATGCCATTACAAGAAAAAGTTGAATTGCTTGATAAATACCATAAATTGAGGTTGGCAGGGGTGGTTATCTGCCATTCAAGATAAATAAATTCAGCCTAAGTACAGGAAATGCATAAAACCGTCACCGCAGCTATATTAGCAGGCCTAAAAACCCTGTTCTATTTTGCAAAGTATCTTTTTATTTCCTAGTAAACATACAGCTTTTATGTGGGTACAGGATTACTATACGCAAGGCATACCATACCCATGGACTCTAATAATTCAAGAAGAAACAAAGTTACTATGTGACAATGGAAGGCAAAAGGAAGGTGAAAGATCTAAAGGTACAGAATTTAATGCCAGCAAAGGATGGTTTGATAATTTTAGGAAGAGGTTTAGCTTTTAAAATGTTGGGATAGGCTGGGTGCCTGTACCTCCGTGGTTAGAGAACCAGCCCTATGCACCAAGGGTGGTGGGTTTGAACTCAGCTCAGGCCTGCTTAATAGAAAAAAAAAGTGAAAGAAGGGAAAGCAGGGCCCAAAATCTTCTACTGCATTGTAGATCTGGTTATTGTTTATGTGAACAAAACACTTATTTTCACACATTAATTTTACATCCTTCTGCCTTATAAGATATCTTCATTGTGTGTGTTACTTTTCTCATGTATTATTTTATTTCCAAGACATAAATATTTATGAAATACAAAGAGGAAAAAAAAATTGTTGAGATGACAGGAGAAGCAGTTATGTTGATACTTGGTCTTCTGCTGACCGAAAGGCAACAGACAAGTTCCTTGATGACAACAAGAAAATTATTGAGGAGAAAAGATATCTGGCTGAATAAATGTTTAATGCAGATGAAAGCGCCCTCCCTATTCAGAAAAAAAACAGCCACAAAGGACATTTATCAGAAAGCAAAAAAAGTGAGCACCAGGATTGTAGGCAGGCAGGGATAGACTCACTCTACTTGTTTTGCACAAATGCAGGCAGGTTTATGATCAGGACTTCCCTTATCTATAAAGCTGCCAGTCTTACTCTATAACAAGAAAGCCTGGACAATGAGAATCTTTCTTGGGGGGTGTGGGGGTGGAGCCATTGATGCTTTGTTCCTGAAGTCAGGAAGTACCTTGCCAATGAGGGACTGTCTTCTAAAATTCTTTTGATATTGGAAAATGCCTTTGGCCACCCATCACCATGACTTCAACACGGAAGGCATCAAAGTGGTTTACTTGCCCCTAAATAAAACATCTGTAATTCAGCCCCTAAATCAGAAAATCGTAAGGTCCATCTGATACTGGACAAGTGGCACCCCAGCCAGCTCAGCGAGTGGGGCTGGGGAACCTGTCGCCTCCATCTTGGCGGCAGCAGCAGGCAAAGGAACCAGCAGGCTGGAGCAAGGGGGGTGGGGGGTGGCTTTCCTCCCCCAAGGGGAGGCTCCAGTAGCCAGAAAGGTCCCCACACAAGCGGGGAAGACACTGGGACCTCCTCTTCCTCGGTAATTGGTCCATTTTCAAAACCTGCTCCTGATTGGTCTATTTTTAGGAGCCAAAAGCTCATTGGACAACTGCCCTTACATAAACCCCTCAGTAGAGAGCCTAGGGGCAGATCTCCTGGACCTCCCAGGGAGAGAGAGCAGGAGAGCAAGAGTTGTAACACTTGATCTTGCTCTGCAAGGAGGCTTGGCTTTTTATAAGAGCTGTAGCACTTCTACTGCTGATCCTATTCTGCAAGGAGGCTTGGGGCTTTGTAAGAGCTGTAGTACTTCTACTGCTGATCCTGTTTGGCAAGGAGGCCTGGCTCTTTGTAAGAGCTGTAGCACTTCTACTGCTGATGCTGCTCTGTGAAGAGGCTTGGCTCTTTGTAAGAGCTGCAACACTCCTACTACTGATCCTGCTCTGCAAGGAGGTTTGGCTCTTTGCGAGAGCTATATCACTTATTAAATAAAACCTATTCCACATCTGTTAAGTAAAACCTAACCTACTGTTGATCCTGTGGTCTGTTGCTTCATTCATCAAACCGCCTAAACCAAGAGCCTGGAAATCCGGTATCAAAATCTGGTACCACATCCTTTAATGCTCATTATACACATAACTCAATAGAAAGGATCGTCAACACTATGAAAGAGAACCCCAATAGAGTGAACATAATGAAAGTATGGAAGAATTACACCATTAAAAATGCCATCATTATTCTAGAAAAAGCTGTGAAAATCATCAAGCCTGAAATAATAAATTTTTGATAGAGAAAACTGTGTCCAGATGCTGTGTGTGACTTCACAGGATTTATGAAAGAGTCAGCCAAGGAAATAATGAAAGGAAATATGGCAAAAATCAAATTTAAAAAAAGGTGGGGAGGGAAGAGTTTCATAATATGCATCTTGGAGAAATTTAAGAGCTAATAGATAATACATACACAAGAGGAATGAACAGAAAATGACTTGACGGACAGGAGGCTTTAAACCAGTGCCTGACGATGAGGAAGGAGACGTACAAACTGACATTGTACAATCTGGCACAAGGGTTTTGATTATTCAGAACTGCCTTGGAGTTCTTTTACACGATGGACTCTTCTATGATATGGGCACTGAAACTAAAGCAAATGATAGAAGGATCGTACTGTATAAAAACATTTTTAGAGAAATGAAAAGTCAAAAAAGTCACAGGGAACTCATGATGTATTTCTGCAAAGTTCCAGTCAGTGCCTCTGCCTCTCCTCCCCCTATCCCTCCTCCTCCACTGCCCCTGCCTCTGCCACCCCTAAGAGAGCAAGACCAACTCTCCTCTTCAGCCTGCTCGACGTGAAGATATGGAAGATGGAAACCTTTATGATGATCCCACTTCCACTTAATGAATAGTAAATATATTTTCTCTTCTTTATGATTTTTTGGTTTTTTGAGACAGAGTCTCACTTTAACATCCTTGGTAGAGTATTGTGGCGTCATAGCTCACAGCAACCTCAAACTCTTGGGCTCAAGCTATCCTTCTTGCCTTAGCCTCCCAAATAGCTGGGACTACAAGCATTAGCCACAGTTTTTCTATTTTTAGCAGAGACAGGGTCTCACTCTTGTTCAGGCTGGTCTCCAACTCCTGAGCTGGAGCCGTCCACCTGCCTCAGCCTCCTAGCATGCTAGGATTACAGGCGTGAGCCACCATGCCCAACTATGATTCTTTTAGTAATTTGGGGTTTTTTGTTTGTTTGTTTTGTTTTTGACACTGAGTCTCACTTTGTCACTCTTGGTAGAGAGCCGTGGCATCATAGCTCACAGCTACCTCAAACTATTGGGGTCAAGTGATCCTCTTATCTCAGGTTTTCATTTTTAGTAGAGACAGAGGTCTCGCTCTTGCTCAGGGTGGTCTCAAACTCATGAGCTAAAGCAATCCACCTGCCTTGGCCTCCGAGAGTGCTAGGATTACAGGTGTGAGCCACCATGCCCAGCCTCTTAGTAATATTTATTTTCTCTAGCTGACTTTATTGTAACAATACAGCATATTATACACACACACACACACACACACATATATATCATACACCCTATGTGTTAGTGGACTATTTATGTTATGGTGAGGATTCAAATCAACAGCAGGCTATTAGTAGTTAAGTTTGAGAGGAGTCAAAAGTTATAATGTGGAGTTATAACTGCATGAGGGGTTGTCTCCCCTCACCCCTGCAGTATTCAAGGGTCAACTGTAGATTATATTTGTAAGTAAGCTCTTGTCATTTTCATCCTTGAGTGCTGAGCATATAGTTAGTCCCAAGTTTTTAAGAAAATTATTCAGTGAAATTGGAATGAAGTCAAATTTATCATACCTGCAACACAACACTCTTTGACATATACAAACATTGCTTATCTTGTTTAAAATAGTTTACATAATCAGTACCTGTATGGTTGCATGGATCTGCTCCTTAATAGTTTTAAGCATAGTAGTTGTCATTAGAACAGAGTTGACTGTATTTTTTAATTACCTTGGTTAAAATACCATCCAGCCATCCACAATGTAATCAGGAATATGGGATAAAACTCCACACAGTTTTGTCTGCAGGAAAATAGAAAGACATGGGTTATTTTATGAAAAAAAAAAAAAAAACTATGTACTAAAGCATTGATTTTTTCATCTAGAGGTAAATATACAGTCTATTCAAACAAAAATAAAACAAGAACTTACATAAAGAGATTAAATGATTTCAGTTTTAATGAAAATGAGTGGGACTCAAACATTGTTTAAACCTTAAAGCAGGGCCAAGAATCATTCTTCTACCTGTAAGTTGCCAGTAGTGGAAGTGAGCAGTAGCTCTTTTCCAAAAGACAAGTCTCCTGAGCCTACCTAAAGACTCCTCTGTATTTTATCTGAAGAACGCAGGAGACTAAACAGATACCTTCTAAAAAATTCCTATCCACCCATTGTCTTCTACTTGAATTACTCAGAACATTAAACAAATTATCAGCTGGCTCACACCTGTAATCCCAGCACTTTAGGACTCTGAGGCAGGAGGATCTCTTGAGGCCAGGACTTTGAGACCAGCCTGAACAACATAGTAAGACCCTGTCTCTACCCAAAACAAGTTTAATTAGCTGGGCATACTGGCTTGCCTATAGTCCTACCTACTTGGGAAGCTGAGGCAGAAGGATTGCTTAAGCCTAGAGATTTAAGTGAGCTATGATTATGCCATTGCCCTTGAGCCTGGATGGCAGATCCAGAACCCACCTCTAAAAAAATTAAAATAATGCTTAAAAAATAATCTTTAACTAATTTTCCTAAACTTCCTTAAATAAACATATTTCATTCCCATTTTATGGAGGAATAAACTAAGGCCAGAAAGCCCAGGCTGACTGATGCATTGCAGAGTCAAAGTAGACAGTATCCACCTTCTGATTCCAAAGCTCTGTCCCAATGTTAAGCCAAATTGCCTCTGTTAATGGAAGAGTTGGGCAGATTGGATACTATTTTAAGCAAAAGGGAATAGCTCTCTGAGAACTATAATTAATTTACCTACATCTAGCAAAGAGAGAAAAAAAGATGAATTATATTCATCTTCCTTCCTGAGCTACACCCCCAAGTGATCTTGGTTAGGCTGACTAAAACTCCTTGCTGACAACACCACCCCAGAAAGAACTTGAATGTAATTAACAGCTCAATGCTCATATAAAGACCACTGGCTAGGGCCAGTGAGGTGGCTCTTGCCTGTAATGCTAGCACTCTGGGAGGCTGAGATGGGTGGATTGCTCAAGCTCAGAGTTCAAGACTAGACTGAGCAAGAGCAAGATCTCATCTCTACTAAAAATAGAAAAACTAGCAAGGCATTGTGGCAGGTGCCTGTAGTCCCACCTACTTGGAAGGATGAGGCAAGAGGATTGCTTGAACCTAAGAGTTTGAGGTTGCTGTAAGGTGTGATGGGACCACGGGACTCTACCCAGGGTGACAGAGTGAGACTCTGTCTCAAAAAAAAAAAAAAAAACCATGGCTGATGCAGAGTACTGAAGCACAAGCAGAAAATTTCAACCCCACCAGCAAAGAAAATAATGAGGTCACCCACGCACATCTTCACGGGCCAGGACAGTGATCGCCAATTCCCTGGAAAGTCAGCTTCTTTTTCTAACTGTTGGCTTTAAAGACTAACAGGTCACTTTACAACTTAAGGCATGTCTCGTCCCAAACCTAACACTGATCATCTCACAAACCATAGCTCTGAGTACTTCCTGGTACTCAAGGAAGTAACTGAGGTTTTTCTTTCTGCTGCTTCCATCCTGGGCATGATTTTGCTTCTCATGGGTTGTCTTTTAATTTAATGTTTTTTAACTTGGTGAGTGGCTATGACAGGTTAAGTGAAAAGAAGCTTTATGAATTTGTATGGTAAGAATTACCATAGCTATGTAAACAATAAGCCAGCTTCCCAACATTTCCTTTCCCTTGGCTAAATATGATAGAACTGTTTACCATGACGTTTAAAAAGAGCGATACAGAGCTTGTCTTTTCACACTCACTGGAATTTTATATGATGCTTTTCAGAAACAACACAATTGTCCCATTGTTTATTTGGTTTTGAAACATGCCTTAGATTATTCCAAATGTAAGGATGGATTGAACGATGTATTTTAATTCAAAGTTACCTGTGATGAGAGTTTATTAAAGCACCTTCAAGAACAACCCACTTTATCCTTCATAAAAGTCTACTTACCTAGGACTTATTTTTTGTTCTTTTCGTGACTAAGGCTCCCTCTGGCTAAAGTGCAGTGATGTCATCACGTAACAAAAGAAATGGCCTACAAAAACTGGCAAAAATTTTTCTATTTGGAAACTGAGGGGCTGGCAGTGGTAGGGAGGGACAGGAAAACGTCTTGTGAAGGTGGGCCTGGAGGCCAGTGCCCGGCTGACTGGCAAAAATTCTGAGGTAAAAGCTGTGCTGCCAGGAGCTCTGGGTTTTGGGTTATGTGTAGGAAAATTGGCATTTTGTGAGAAGCAGTCTGCCATTTTTCCTCCTTCACAGGTAAAGTAATAAATTTCCCTTCCCTTCTTCTCAAAAGCCACTTGTTTTTGTTTTTTCTGATGCAGCTTCAAGAACAAGTACTGAACTTTCAGTAAATGATCACAGCTCACTGCAGCCTCAAACTCCCCAGCTCAAGAGATCCGACTGCCTTTGCCTCCAGAGTAGGTTGGACTACAGGCACCCACCACACTTGGCTAATTTTTCTATTTTTAGTAAAGTCGGGGTCTTGCTCTTGAGCAGGCTTATCTCAAACTCCTGACCTCAGGTAATCCTCCCACCTTGGCCTCCCAGAGTGCTAAGATTACAGGCATGAGCCCCCACACACACACACCTAGCCTTATTTAGTGCTTTTTCTTTACTAACCAGTGGCTTTGGCTTGGCATAGGGGAGAGTCTTGGCATAGGGAGAGGTTCTCTGGGTGTCTGTCTACATAAGCTGATACGCACGAGTGCTTACCCTTTGTTATAAGCAGATGTCATCATGGACCTCAAACTCCGTCCAGGAGAAAGTAACCAAAAAGGCCTTTGCAGGAAGAACAGTAGGGACCCAGCCAATCAACCTGGTTTGCCTGAGCTGAGGAGGTGTCCAGACCATGAGATTTCCCATTTCAAAACTAGGACAGTCCTAAACCCAGCCCACACAAGGCAGGCAGATTTCCACCTGGTTCTGATGGCTGGTGGCAGCAAGGATGGTCCCCAACTGAAAACCAGTGGAGCCTTGTCTCGGCCATTAATAATAATACTATAAAATTCATAGTATTTAAAGTGGGAGTGGGGGAGAATCAAACTGTGGCCTGGTGGCCTCAAATCTGGCAGTTTCTTCAACACCAGTCTCCAAACACTGCTGACGACATAGCATCAGTTGCACAGCCTGGTATAAATAAATACACACACGCCTGCTGCCGCAGAGGGGGCGAGCGGACCACAAGGGTGGAAGTTGTTACAGTAAGGCTTTGGGTGGAGCTACTTCTGGCTAAAGAAAAATGCCTGAATGGGCCAACTGGTAAAGTAGCTGGTGTGCTATGTTCCCTTTTCGCCGCCACTGGTTGAAAGAAGGCTCAGAGGAACCGGAAGGGAGCAGAGCCAGGAGAGGGGAGGAGCCTGGGCCTCCCCGGCGGTGTGGGTGGCACCCACCAAAGAGCACCTCCCAGGACTGGCCGTGGGGGACACGCTAACTTCACTGTGTTAAACCACCGAGAATTGGGGGGTTATCTATTAACACCATGCTATACTTTAGATATGGCTTGTTTGTCCCCACCAAAACTCATGTTGAAATGTGATCCCCAGTGCGGCTGCTGCTACAGGTGGGGCCTGGTGGGAGGTACTTGGGTCGTGGGGACAGATCCCTCGTGAATGGCTTGGTGTCCTCCCCACCAGACGGTTTAATTCCTGTGAGAGTGGGCTGTCATTAAGGCAGGACACTCCCGCTCCTTTCCCACTTCCCACGTGCCCGGTTCCCCTCGACCCCCTGCGAGTTTTGACTCAGCACAAAAGCCCTGGCCAGGCCAGAGCAGGCGCTGCCCAGTTTCCCAACAGCCTGCAGAAAAGCAAGATAAACTTCTTTTCTTTATAAATTACCTAGTCTCAGGTATTCCTTTATAGCAGTGATTTTCAACTGGTGTACGGAGAAAATTTCTAAAGATCATTAATTAGATTATTTTCAAAAGAAGTTCAAAGCACAATATTTTTTCCTCTTTTTTGATCAACATAATTTAAGTGTGCAGTACAAGTTTAACTACAGATTTAAGTGTACCCTGAGATTTTTAAAAAGGTTGAAAAACACTGCTTTATAGTAACACAAAATGGACTAAGACACACAGCTAACCTATTTGACTGAAAAGGAATATCCTATACATTATAAAACACACAAAATAAAAAGTAAAAGATTGGATTTTAATAATAAATATTTTGGCTAGGCCTAGTGGCTCATGCCTATCATCCTAGCACTCTGGAAAGCCAAGGCAGGAGGATTGCTTGAGCTCACAAGTTTGAGACCAGCCTGAACAAAATCATGACCACACTCCTACCCCCACTAAAAATAGAAAAATTAGGTGGGCATTATGGCAGGCATGTGTAATCCCAGCTATTTGGGAGGCTAAGGCAAGAGGATGCTTGAGCCCAGGAGTTTGAGATTGCTGTGAGCTAGGCTGATGCCACCACACTCTTGCCTGGGACATCAGATTATTCTGTCTCCAAAAAAAAAAGAAATTAATATTTTCCTCACCCTCACAGTGGATTATTTAGCATATCCCACCTGGGTGTGCACATCACTTGGGAGACCTGTGGCCTAAAATATTTCTGAATATATCTTCTATTTGATAGATTTCTAGTGAACACACAGCATGAAACTTTGCTGGCAACTATCTCGTTCAGAACGTCTGAAACATTCTCCAAAGGGAAAACTTGATGAGCCATAGAGTATTTCTAATGCCATGGTCACAGTATATCTTTTTAAAAATAAAAACAGACAAGACAGTTCAAAGGGGGATTCTTTTTAGGTTTTCCTCTTTCAAGTTTTTTGTTTGCTTCCTTTTCGCTCTCCTCTTGTTTAG